GGGAGGTGGGGCACGCGGCTGCCTCCCCTGAGGGTCAGGGCTGGATTTGCTCCAACAGATACACCAGGTGTGGGTGTGGGTGTGGACGGGACGCAGAGAGTGTGTGACTTTGCCGCCTGCAGGGACACCTGGGAGGTTGCAGGAGTGTCTGTCGCAGCCAGGCGGAGTGCAGGTCAGGGAGGAGTATCCCCGGCAGAGTCCACGCTCATGGACACAATCCTGGAAGCGTACCTCCTCTTAAACTGAACAAGCTTGTGTGCTGGCCTGGATAGGAAGTTCCGGGAGCATTGTAGCGTCTGGCCTTGGGGCCGAGGCAGGAGGAAACAATGTTCCTAGAAGCTCCTGATGCTGATGGAAGGGCTTGCTATCCCACGTAGGGTCACCAGAGGGAGCTCTCGTCCAGGAGACCAGCCTCGCGGGAAATTAGCGCGAGCGGCTGATAAGGGTAAAGGCTAATCAAACGATGACACTGTCACCCACACCGGGAAATGGGCGCCTCTCTCATTACCCAGGACGGGCTCCTGCGTGTTCCAGTCACTGTGGCACCTGATGCCTCTGAGGCTCGAGGCCAGGCAGGCTGTATGGTGAGGGGGGCAACTTACTGGGCATTACAGGGATTCCAAGCCACGGAAGGACTTTAGCGATCAGTGTGGCCTCTGCCGTGGTTCTCTAGTAACCCGAGAACCGCAATATAAGAGGACATTTGACTTGCTGTTGTTCAGCGGGCGGGACTGAGCACGTCGTCCCTTGTCCCCACGGGAGGGCGGGCGTCAGTGTCAAACATCTGGAAGTTTGAACCTGGGAATACCTGTGCTACGCCACCTAGGAAACGGTTGTCCACAAACCGGAAGGAATGCAGGACTGACTGAACAGCCTTTCCCAGCACCCCAGTTACTGGGACATGGGAACACGTATAAAGGTCATTTCTGTTGTGAAGGAACAGGAAATGATGCTATGATTTTAAGTGGCACAGAGCAAACCTTATTTTAATCTCTCTGCCACAGCTGTATGGTGTGACAAAGAGTTTATAAACATACTGATAAAATTAAATGAAAAAAAAAAACCCAGGCTGATGGCTGACAATATATGGGGAGACTGATTGGGAACCCTGGGTTGATGTATTATAATACATTTGACAGCTGGTTGGACAGGGAAAGAAGTGTACTTGGCCTTTGAAAAATCACACACACACGTGCTTCCACTGCCACGTAAAAAAGCTTCAGATCACAGCTGAGGCTGCGGACAAAGTGGAGCGGAGCTAAAGGACAGGCGTGGCAGGACCCCGGCTGGAAGAAAACAACACACAAACAGGAAGCAACCCTGTGACAGCTGGGACCCCTCCCACTAAATATCCCACTTCTCACTGGGAGTTTTGATCTTTGGGCAACTGTCACCAAACCTGAGAAAGCTGATAATGTGTTCTCCTCCTGACCAAGGAAGAAGCTGATGTTTAGCTGCTGGATGCCCAAACCAAGCAGCAGGTGGTGGAGGCCCCAAAGACAAATCCCAAATTCTCCACCAGTTCTCGAGCTCAGATAATTTAAGCAGGTGTCTCGAAGGACTGTCCTTAGCTGCAAATACAGCCGACTCTCATTTTTCGTGGTAGTTCTGTTCTACGAAGTCGTGAACACTGAATTATTGAACGCTGAGCCATTGTCCCTAGAGGAAATGCAGGGTTAGGTCCCTGCAAGACTGTGGACATGTTTTCATCAACCAGTCAATACATAAATATTTGTAAATCACACTCCCGATAAACGGTTAATGTCTGAAATATATAAAGAACTCATATAACTCCATAGCAAAAGAACATAATCCATTTAAAAATGGGCAAAAGATCTGAATAGAAGATATTCCAATGGCCAACAGACACATAAAAAGATACTCAGCTAATCATCAGGGAAATGCACACCAGCACCACAATGAGATGTCACCTTGCACCTGTCAGAATGGCTGTCATCAAGAAGACGAGAAAAGTGCTGGCAAGGATGTAGAGAAAAGGGAACCATGTGCACAGTTGGTGGGGTTGTAAATTGGTGCAGCCACCATGGAAAACAGTATGGAGGGTCCTCAAAAAATTAAAAATAGAGCTTCCATATGACCAAGCAATTCCATCTGGGTGTTT